TACTTCATATAAAATTTTAATTATAGATTTTTTTTTGTAAATCTAAAATAGTTTAAGGATAAATTTGTAATTTAAACTTCGTAGATTTTTTATTATTCAATAATAGAATAATGATATTTTTGAAAGAAAAAAAAATTAAGGGCATTTTAGTCCAAAATGCCGGTAATCCAACAATATCTAAGGAAAGGGAGGTAATGACATTCGTGGTAATATACTCCAAAAAATCTACTATTGGTAATGTAAGATTACCGGAAATGACATTCCCGACCAACCAAACGGGGGAATGTGTATTTCATTCACATAAGAATCTCACATTCCCTAACCAAACGCACCCTAAGAATAAGAATAAGATAAGAATAATGTAATCTTTGCTTCAAAGCTTTGGTTGATGGGGCGGAAGTTTTGAGCCTAATGGTTAGTGATAGGATGGATGGATCATATTTTCTTAGCCGTAAAGACATTATTTATTACCAATCATCTCATCCATTAACCTAATCCCATTAACAACAACATCCACAAATAAAATATCATTTATACATTATACAATTTAGAAAGTTATAGATAATTTTTAGATTATTGAATTAATTTAATAATTTTTTTAAATTAATAATAATTTACTTTTAAATATTTCATCATTTTATTATTATTAATATGGTTACTTATTTATTTTCGTTCTTTTAACAATTTAAAAAATATATAAAAATTTTAATTAATCAACCGATCCCATCCATATCTATATGTAGGTAATTATTTTATGCAAATTATAAACAATTTTTGGATATATATATTTATTATTTGAGATATTTTTTTTGAATTAATTACTGTTATTCGGTATATTGATTGATTAATCCATATTAGATACTGCAACGGCAAGGACAACCCTCCCAACTTAATCTGCTCCATTCGCAAACATCAGAATTCTAAACTCTGACATTGCTTAAGGAATTTAGTGTCTTATCTCACTAGATCAACTGGTTGTTGGTTTATTATTTGAGACATTGATTGTGAAATAAAAAAAAAATACAAACATTGTCATATTTTTGGGTAGAATACAAAAATGCTCCCCAAGTATAGGGTATTACTTTGTTGAGTCCCTGACTATTAAAAATTATAAAATGATCCTCAAACTATAGGGTGTTGCTTTGTTAAGTACCCGACATAAAAATACAAAGATTGACGATTGTCTGACCTGGATATTAACCTGCTGATTGGGATATGATAAAATATGATCCCAAAATCTCAAACGACTATCACATCTCAGCTATTATGTTAATGTACAGCTCAGACGATCATCAATTTTAGCAAAAAGGGATGAGTTTGAAACATATGAATAGTTAGATGCTCATTTTATAACTTTTAATAGTCGATGAGCTCATCAAAGTAATATTCTATAGTCGAATGACCATTTTATTTTGTTAATAATTAAAAAATTCAACAAAATAATACCCTATAACCAGAGACCATTTGTGCACTACCCTATATTTTTTTATGATTTTTTCATGCGTCCTTTGCCTCCACGTTACTCTTGTATTATTTTTCTTTCTATTTTTCTTGTTTGATTTATTATATTTTTCTTATTTTCTCTCTCTCAAATATAACATTTAAAACAATTTTGCGGAATTTTTTATTCTACTGTGAGTACATTAAATACTTATTTATATAATATAATTGTTTGATATAATGACGATCAATTTTTTCTCTATAAATAGTTTCAGTCTACCACCCTCTGTCATTAATTAATGCTTACATAAACAAATATATAAAATAATTATTCAATATGTGGAATGAAATTTTATTTTATAAATAGTTTTAACCCACCATTAAATATTTTTAATTACTTATTTAAATATTAATTAAAAATATATAACAATGAATTAAAACTGTTTGGATACATGTATCAAGAATGATGTTGTATATATTTGTTGTGATCGGGCTTGATCAATTATCTTAGATGGGTTGAGGATTCTGCGATAGCAGACTTATAGAGCCCATTTTCAGTTTTCGAAATCACTGTGTATCTCACAAAATATAGAGGGTAAACTCCGTATTTAGTTAAGCATTTATTTTTATGATTCTGCTTTGATCATCAATTATTTTTTTCTTTAAATTTATACTTAACGTTATATTTTAGTTCTTTTTGATCACCCATCGTTAAAAAATTTAACGGTAATATTGACATGTTACCATAAGGTAATATCATATCATCATTTAAGAAAAAAAAATTGACCATGTTAGCAATTATGTCAGTAGGTGACCAAAACATAGCATTAGGTATGATTTAAAAAAATAGTTAAATGACTAAAACAAAATCACAAAAAACCTAAACTAATATGAATCAGCTTAAAATTACACAAAAATAGTTAGATAATTATTCCAAGTCTTACTCGGTCATGGTCACATCATCAACTTTCCTTTTACTAGGGTAGAGGCATCTCGACACTCTTTTTAGATAGCTCTGAGCTATTTCAACAAGAGTGAGAGGCATTCATACTCCATTCGGGCATTCAAAAGTGGACGCTCTCAATCCCTTCGGTCAATTTTACATAATAACTTAATGAAATATATCTTAACACTATTCAACCATGTATAAGAGGCTTCTTAATTTGCGGTACACTCTTTTTAGATAGCTCTGAGCTATTTCAACAAGAGTGAGAGGCATTCATACTCCATTCGGGCATTCAAAAGTGGACGCTCTCAATCCCTTCGGTCAATTTTACATAATAACTTAATGAAATATATCTTAACACTATTCAACCATGTATAAGAGGCTTCTTAATTTGCGGTACCGTCTTACGATGGGTGTGGAGGCATCTCAACATGTTCCATACATTGCAGGTGAAACTGAGGCATCTTTGCCATGAAAAAAAATTAGGGCAAAAGCATCTCAACGCTAAAGCACAGGCTCTCAAATCTTTCGGTCAGTTTTAGGACATAATTCATTTTGTTTGAGACAATGTGAGGCATCTCAACTCCATTCGGCCAAATAGAGGAGGCCTACTCATTATTTGTTAGCACATAACGGTAGGTGCAGAGGCATATCTACCCTTACCATACTTCACTGGTAGAATAAAGACATCTTCACTGTGGCATTACCAGATCAAAGACATCTCAAAGTCGAAGTGGATGCATCTCGACCCCTCGTACGATTCTGTGGCCATAAGCCGGGGTAAAGGCAACTCAACACCCTACCGAGGCAACTCACGGGCAACATGTATGAAGGTAACTCAACGTTTCTATAGCTAATGGGTGGAGAGTTCCCTCATGTTTGAAGACATCCCCTTTCTTTTGGTGAGTGGAGGCGTCTCTACACTCAGAGCAGAAGCGACTCGATGCTCTTTTTACCGAAGATTAAGGGCATCCCTACTATGACAACACAGTGGAGGCAACTCAACACCATGTTAGCATGACAGTGGATAATAGGAACGTTCAAGGAGATTCGACGCTCAAGTGGAGATACTAAAATGCTTGCATGCATTAATTGTTCAAAACTTTACATGCTACTCCAAGAGAGAAGATTTTTTTTTTGAGTACTTGAACTAGGAGTAGTTTTGCAATTTCTCACGAGGAGTGTTCTTGTCAGGAATAAGTTAATCCGGCGAGGATGAGGGCCATTGTGGAAGTTTTTATGTGCTTGCATCTTGCCCTTGTAGACGTGATTGTCCCAAGGTGCTTTGTCCAACACGCTATTGGGCCTTATCACTAGGGCTGTAAATGAGACGAGACAGATAGCGAGCTACTCGAGATCGACTCAATCAAGGCTCGATAAATACTCGGATCGAATGGACTCAACTCGAGCTCGAGCTCGACTCGAGTTCTTAACGAGCCGAAACGAGCTACTCGATACTCGACTCGAAAAGCTCGTGAGCAGCTCGAAAAAATGTTATATTATAATTTTAGATTTTTTAAAATTATATTATTAAAAATACACTATTGATAATTATAAAATTTTAAAAATATATTAAAAAATTCTATAATACAACTACCTCAAATTTTTAATAACTAATTTTTAAAATTATTGTTATAATTTGAGGTTTCGAGTTTAAATTTCATAAATATCAAGGGTTTGAGATTTAATATCAAGATATTATATTGTACTTACCTCATAAATTAGTTAATTAATGTCTTTGCAATGAACTCTAAACCTTAAACCCTTATCTCTAAACCCTTAACCCGATTATGTGATATGAGTTAAGTTATGCACATGAAGGTAACATATAAATTATGCAAAATGATGTTATGTGACTCCTAAATAAATCATTTGCATACTTATACATAAACATATCAACATGCAAAATAAATATACACAACTTGGTGATTGAGACATGACTTTATCATATCTTAATGATGACTATCGACACCGTCATTGCTTTCAAGCACTGACTCACCAACATAATATTTCAAGAACTGACTCGACTATATAATGTAAACGGAGATTTGATGTACAAATACAACTAAAACGATGAGATCATATTTTATCATACCCTAGTCAACAGGTTAACATCAATATCATACAATCACCAATTTTTTAATGGAAAATGACGAGTTTGAATCATATAAATAGTCGAGGTAATACATGATAGGATTATGATATATATAAATTATAAACAATTAAAGTGTTTTAGAATGGAAGTAGAATTTGGGATAGTTATAAAGTAATATATGTTTAAAATTTTCTTAATCAATTAACAATGCTCACACATCCTATAGATACATTTATTTAAACTCAAAACCTTTATGGAGAACAACATTTCCTTCTATTACAAAATTATTGATATTTTGAAAAATATACTTGAAATGTGTTATTTATTTTTACCATTTAGTATCCAATGAACTTACCATGACTAGCTGAAAAAACATTTCCCAGATACTTTTACATACACAAGCAAGAAAATTTCCTAAATGTCTTCTTTGGCAGTGGTTGCTACTTCCAGGTTGGGAACTCAGTAAAGCTTGGAATGTCAATTCTTGCTGCCTATAAAATAGCATTAAGTGCTTGGGCATCATGGGTTGAGAACATGATGAGACCCGATTGCCATTGTAACAGACAGAACTGTGGGCATGGCAATAGGAATTCCTCCAATGAGTAGTACCAGCAAATTGTCGATTCCGGGATGATATTCACGGTGTTGAATTGGGTACATGACGATGATTTCAGTTATCATTCCGACCGCAATGGAACATATACAGAAATTACCAATGGCAGTCAACACCTGTTTAACAAAATCGGGAACCAAAGCATTTCATGAATGAAACAAATGAAGAACATGCAAAATAATAAAAAATAAGCTGATCTTAGGACCTTTTGAAAATGTCCCTGTTGATTTGTAGAATCAACAAGGTGAGCAGCTTTTCCAAAGAACGTATGAACACCGGTGGCGATCACGACAGCTTCAATCTCTCCTTGTTTGCATGTAGAACCCGAGTAAATAATGTCACCGGGGCCTTTTTGTTATTGGAAGAGACTCACCAGTTAACGCTGACTGGAACATGGAAAAAGAGAATTAACATCAAGAAAACAAAGTTCAACACACAAAAAAGAAAACGAATCAGTTCAGGTTTCAAAAGAACTTGATCGATTTTCAGCGGATCACCGTCGAGGAGTCTAGCATCAGCCGGAATAATGTCACCGAGTTTAACACTGATGATATCACCGGGAACAAGAACAGATGCATCTTCTTCAATCCACTTCCCATCTCGAAACACCTGAAACGATTCATTTATTAGTCAATTTTCAGACACTAGAGCAACATACTCTAGGTTTGCTTGTGTTCATCTTCAATTCTCGACTCTATTTTTTTCAACAAAGATAGTGTTGATTCATGGAGTTCCATGCAATCTTGCAATGCTCCTCTTTGTTTCTCGACGATCACGTTTCCATTTCCGCCATTGGAGAATAAACTTGTTAGCTTCGCAGCCTCGGATAATGCAGTGTTGAGGGTTTGAAGGAGGTAGAAAAGCATGTTGGGACTGATGTTTACTAAAATGGAAAGCTTCAGTGAATCGAAACAAGAACCTGGGTATGGAGTTGGTTTGCAGAAGCTTCGTATGGAAGTGAGATTTGGGTTCAGAGAATTTGTTGAAGAAACGTTGAGAGAGAAAGTTGAAGAGAAGAAAAAGAAGATGAATATTGGTATAATGATAGAAGCCATTGAAGGCTATTGCAGAAGCTAATAGGATCTTTTTCTGTTTTTATAGACCAATGTTAGATCAGATAAGGTAAATTGTTGAGATTGTCAGACTTAGCGTTGAACTTGAGTTGGTTTGATATCCCACATCGTTGGTTGTTGGGGAATAAGAGGTAAAGTGAGTGTATAAAAGTTGATGGGTTTCAATAAAGGAAAATAAAACCCGCTAAGCTCAGAATCGAGCTCAAAATTGAGCTCAAATCGAGCTTAAAATTGAGCTTGAATCGAGCTTGAATCGAGCTCAAAATCGAGCTTCAATCGAGTTCGAGTTTCGAGCTTTAGTCGAGCTCTTGAATTTTTTTTAGTTCGAGCTTTTTCGAGTTCGAGTCGAGCTCAGTAATACTCGAGCTCGACTCGGCTCGTTTACACCCCTACTTATCACATTAATGCTTGATGGAGGGACCGACTAGCTTTTCTGCCTATATGTCCAGGCCGCTGCTTTTTTGTGGCTGCATTGTTCCTAAATTGGGGATGCGTTTAGGAAAAGGTAAGCCTAGAGCAATGTCACTTACATACCCCCAACACTCGTGAGGGAGACGATCTTGGCCAGAGGGCAGGTGGTGTCACTCATATTGTCCCTCATTTTTGCCTCCCTTCTCTTCGCCCTATGCATCTCTAGCCTGCTGTAATAGATTGGCCAGAGGTGAGGATGACAAATTTGGTTCTAGGAGAGGGTGAGAATAGTTGTTTTAGCTTTCGGGAGAGACGAGGATAGTTGTTTTATCCTTTTTCTTCTAACGTGCGATATCAACAAACTAACATAGCCCAATGACCAAAATAAGATAGATAAAAAAACATGTGGTAAAAACATTACTTTTTTCAAAATCAATGATCAAAATAAGACAAATTAAAAACAAAAAGAATCACAAATACAGTTTAACCAAATATTTATTCGGTATGACCTAACTTCCAGTCAAGTGGTAATTTCAGTTTCTTCGATATACATTGTTATGTGCTTGATTTGATCGAGTCTTTATGACTTTTTTATCGTAAGTTTTCCATATCATTGAAGGTTAATTTTTCCAAATAAAACGACAGGAATTGGGCTCCCTCAAGGCCTACGTCTACAATTTATTATTATTCTTCCAAACCCAAACTACTGGGAGTTGGATTTCTTAAAAGAGTAAAATATAAATAAAATTATATCAAAATGGCAATGAGCCAATGGTTTTGACCCTAATACTTGCAATACGCTTGGGGATTGGATAGATTACAGGTAAAATTATATTACAAGTGAAGGCAAAGATAAGCCAATACAAGAAACTAAATCCATAAAAGTTAAGTGTAATGTTGGAAGAATTATGACCTTTAAATTTTATATTTAATTATTTTTAATTTTACGTTAAATAAATTAAGTTTTGATCTCTTAAAATTTTGAATTCAATTATTTTTTAGGTTTTTTTAAAAAATTTAAGACTAGGTTGATTAGATCCTAACTCTCTATTTTTAGGTGCAATTATTTTATAGACTTTTTTAATTTTAAAATTGAATAAATTAGATTTTAACTCTCTATTTTTAGTATAAATTATTTTTTAAGTCATTCTTATATTAAGTTTAAGGGTAAAATACGTAATGGTTCCTTGACTATAGGATACTACTTTGTCGAGTCCCTCAACTATTAAAAGTTACAAAATAATCCCCTGATTATAAGACATTATTTTTGTTGAGTCCCCCGACTATTAAAAGTTACAAAATGGTCACCCAATTATTCATATATTCTAAACTCGTCCTTTTTGGTTAAAAAATTGACAGTCGTCCGATCTATACGTAAACATGTTGATTGTGATATGATAAAATCTGATCTCATAACCGTTTGAGTTGTTATGTGGATCGATTCTCCGTTTACATTATGTCATCAAGATATTGCTTGAAAGCAATGACAATGCCAATAGATATCATTAAAATATGATTTTATCATATTCCAGTCAGCAGATTAACTTCCAGCTCATACAGACGTTAAAATTTTAATGGAAAAGGACGAGTTTAGAATATTTGAATAGTCGGGAGATCATTTTATAATTTTTAATAGTTGAGAGACTTAACAAAACAATGTCTTATAATTGAGGGACCATTTGTATACTTTACCCTTATGTTTATTAAAAAATTGAATTTAACTGGGTCCATGTACAAAATACAATCAAGACCTGACCTACACATTGCGATATGGTGATGAGAGGATGACAACTGAACGCCTTATATAACAGGATTAATACTAAATTCACGTAAAAGTAAATGAATACTAATAATTTGCATTAATGGTGATTAGTAAGAGTTCCATGAATAAATTAAATTATAAGCGCGCATGCACATAAACGACAGATAGGAACAGCAGATAATCTATAATCGATTCTCCATTTTAACTAATTACCATTATTATATTCAAAACCCTACGTATTTGCACTACTTAATTAATTAATTAACTAATGACGATCGGCTTTAGAAAATGACTTCAGTGAGTCCAGACAAGAGGCTAGTGGCGTCCAAGTTCCCAACACTTGCTACGTACTTGAACAACTCTCACATTACGTACACCTCAACGGATAGTTTTCTTGTACGACAGCTTAATTTAAGATTAAAGAATGGCAAGAAATGAGTGCGACTAAAAATATTATAAAAATCATAATATTTTCGGTTGAGCGTAACCTAAAATGTTATGAAAATATAACATTTTCGGTTCAACTGAAAATATTAAGAAAAAGTTAACATTTTAGGTTGCGCCCAATCAAAAATATTATGTTTTTTATAACATTTTTGGTTGCGCACATTTCATACCGTTCTTTAATCTTAAATTAAATTGTCGTTCCTTAGATTTTATTCACCTAATATATCTTTTGTAATGTTAATATATAAACAAAGTAAGAAAAAAAAGTTTAAACATATATATAAAAGTGAGAGACGAAGTTAGAATAAAATATTAGGATACATAAGGTATCTAAGTTCAAACTAATAGGGACTTATTACATATTTAATCTAAAAAATTAGAAGGGATAAAAGTCTAATTATACTTAAGTTTAAATTGATAAGGACCTAGAATGTTATTAGATAAAAAATTTGGGGAGCGGCAATAACTCCATCCATTCTCTATATGAGAGTTGCAAAGAATTTTTTTTAATAATCATTAATATTTGATTACTGGTTGATTAATCTGATCGAATACCGCATAAATTTATTATTGGAATGACTCTTCTTATCTAATTTTTTTATTCATAATATTAAGATTCGAAGTTTTAACTTTAATTAAAATATCTAGTATATTATTTCACATTGAATTTAATTATGTTGCTGCAAGTGCAAGCCTGCAAAAATTAAGTTATTTCGATAAGTGGTGGATCCATAAATATTTTTTAAGATGTGTATACATGTATTAATATTTAATAACACAAAATTTTCGTATAAAGTAAGAATAAATAAAATTTTAGAATAAATATCATTAATAAAATGAGTAACAAACTAAAAAAAAAAATTAAAGTGGACACTTGTCTATCATGAATTAAGGGCGTCTTCGCCACTATTGCTACCTTTGTGTAGCTGTAAAAGTAGGTGTTAATTTTGGGCGTAGGTCTAATTAAGTTATTTCCCCCTATTTTAATTCCACATTGATGAATAATTACGCTAGCTAATCACCATTATGATTTGCCTCCACTTCACTCCACTGCTACATTTTGTGCTTGCACGCCATATGTCCATTATCCATTTCCGTATTAGCTTTAATCTTTTACCCACTTTCATGTTTGTCTCAACTTTTCTTAAATAAAAAGTAAACTACACTACTAGTCATTAAATTTTTAGGGCACTCACTTTAGTCATCGAATGGTTGATCTCAATACTAAGAAGGTAGTGTTTAACAAGAAGAATAATATAATTTTGTTCCAAGTTGATTCGACCATTGATAATGACATATAAAAAAGTTTTGGTTTTTAGTTTCAATTGAAATTTGAGGTGGTTGGAAGATTTTCCGTAAGTTTGAATCCAATAAAAGAAAAGGAAAAAACTAAATAATTTGGTAATTTTTTGACCAAAGAAACTGTTGAACGATGATAGAAATGACGATAAAAGAAAGAGCTATAACAATTTTTCAAGGTTTCTTTAATGTGCCACGTCACTCGTTGTTTGATTTTAGCGAAATAGAAGTCTTTCTTATTGACAGTGACATCAAAGAAATGTTATTTCTTTTTTATTTTAGTGATCAAAGTAAACATACTCTAAAAATGAAGTGACTACTAATCAATTTACCCTAAAATAAAAAATAATCAATCCTCATCTTGATTCGAGGAACGACACTCACTAACTCCACCATATGATATATATATATATATATATATATATATATATTATATATATATATATATATATATATAATTTAATTAATAAATCTAGTATGATACTCCCTTTTCCTGTACTTCTTGGTATAATAATTATATATTTCTTTTGTAAAGTGATGTCAAGTATACATATATTGTTAGATCAATTGAGTTTTTTTATTACTCACTGATTTTTTATCGACTGATCTACTAATTCAGATCGAATTTTATAGGGATCTATTTTGGTATTATTCTCTTAATTCGGTTTACTCTATTCACAAACGTCAGGATTCGAATCTTTGACTTTGTTTAAAGAGTCTAATGTCTCATCCCACTAAATCAACTAGTTACTGGTAGATTAATTGAATTTAATGATTGAGATTGAAATTTTAAATTCAAGAATAATTCATTTTTTCATAATTTTTTTATTTGCTAATATTACTTTTATACATCTATTTTCATTTATCGAACGAAAAAAACATTTAAAATTATGAAAAAAATACATTATATAAATAGATCTATCTTTATCTCTCTCTATACACGGTCACTGATAGAGAGATGGTTACTTAATTTATACTTGTGCTTCCTATTCATATCTCTATCAGGGAAATTCCATTTCCAGGTCAATCTCTTAAATTAAATTTATGGGCATGGAAAACCCGTTATTGTTTAAAGCTATCTTCTTCAGTTCCATGTAATTAAGGCATAACACTAAAATTTTCAACCAACGTTAATTAAAATGGTTATTTTAATATTTATATATATATATTTAAAACATTATAGACATGACGTCTCATTTTAGAGCGGAAATATTACTTTATGAATAAAATCATCAACTAACAAACGATTAACATTTTAAAATATGAATTTTTTAGTCTAAAATGAAACGTTAGAAACTAAAATGCTCCAGAAAATGAAACTATTTAGTCAAACGTTAGAGACATCTTTATCCTAAAATGAAACGTTAGGACTAAAATGTTTCATAAAAAATAATAAGGACCAAAATGATAATTTTGATAAATATTGGAGGCTAATTTTGACATTAGGCCAATACTTAATTCTGTCGTTAATTACAGTTGATTCTGAATTCATTATTATTGTTACTGGACACTGTGATCATAATATAATATACTCAGTATGGCACACAGAAATGGGTGAAAATTTAAAAAATGGGGAGTTAAAACATTTTTTAATAGAAAAAGAGTTATTTTAATTTAAATTTAAAATTTTAAAATTTTAAAATATTAATGGTTTTATAATTATTTAATTTTATATTTATATTTATAAAATTTTAATCGAGTTAACATTTAATTAAGTCAAAATATATTAAATTACATCATATTCATCAAGTGAATTAATTTTTTTTGTCATCTTAATTTTCTAGGAATTTGTCTTGATTAATCTGGGTTACCTTTGTGATATATCTAATTTTGATAGGTGTGTCTTTCAACAATAATTTATATATATATATATATATATATATATATATATATATATATATATATAAAAGATATAAAACTCGAGACCTACTTAATTGATATCAAACTAATTACCAATTTTAAAGAAATTTATTGGTTAAGTGAATTAATTTTCAATTGAAGTAATGTTGAATAACCGATCAATTATGTAAATCAGGGACTTACACATGACATGACACCTATTAGCAGGAAAAAGAAAAAGAAAGTGTTAGTCACAACTTCTACCGTGGTAATCTTAATATATGGTTAATAAAAGACGTTATCAGTTTTGTTATTATTTTTTAATAAAATAGGTAAATAATTAACTAAAATATTATTATTTCTATCTAATATATTAATATTTTTTAACATTTCTGGTAAAGTGTCCAATAATAATAAAATCTGTAAGAAAAATAACAAAACTGGTAAAACACCTAATAATAATAAAATCGATAAAAATAATAATATTTTCGATAATTTTTTACTGATTTTTTTAAATAATAATAATAAAACCAATAACTTATTTCTTTAATAAGCTCTGTTTTGAAAACCGGACCGGATCGGTCGGTTCAACCGAAAATCGTTGTTTAGTCCGGTTCAATCTAAACCGATTGAACCGCTATTAGTGAACTGGCCAGAACCGCTAAACCGTTCGAACCGGACCGGCTGAAAATCGGAAAAAAATGGGAAAAACCGGGATTTTTGTTTTTTTTATAAAAAAATTAAACCAAACAACGTCGTTTGTTAAACGAGCCAAGTCGAACTCGAGTATTGTTGAGCTCGACTCGAACTTGAAAACTTTAAAAGTAAGCTCAACTCAACTCAAACTCACAAGCTAAAAATTATCAAGTTCAACTTAAACTCGAAATATAATATTGAAACTTGAACTCAAAAAGGCTTGAACTCAAAAAAAAATTAGAAGCTCGATTGAAGCCTAAAATTCGAGCTTAATTGAAGTGAAAGAATAGTTCACTCAATGCTCACCAAAAGGCTCCATGATTTTGAATGCCGAATTACCTCTATTATTTATAGAAGTTAGTTGTGATGCGCTTCTATGTTTCTTAGCAATGTGAGATTGTTTTGTTCTCATATTTTTACTCTTTAGACTTTTGTGATGCTCTTCTATGTTTCTTAGCCATGTGAGATTGTTTTTATAAAAAAAAAATTAAACCAAACAATATCATTTTGTTATGATTTTTTTAACCCCAAATTTATTTTTTAATTATAGTTATATAATTATATTTATTATTTAATATCTTTTACCTTAAATATTATGTTGTAGTTATTTTGAATCATTTTGTTTCACTTGATTTTATGGTTTTTAACTTATATATGTTATGACTTGCTTTGAATATGACTTGTGATATAAAAATTATTTTTTATTAAATATTTTTTTGATATTTTATTTAATTTTTTAAATAATTATGATGTCGTCCGGTTCACTAACCGATCCGATTCTGAAAACCATGTTAATAAGTATATTAAGATTGTCCCCCGTAATAATTTTCTAGTGCTCCACCACAAAAATTAAATTAAGGTGGGACTGCTGCAATCATGAATTTTCAAAACGTTAGTCCTCGCACTCCTCAGCTCAACTCTCTATGGGCTACATATAAGCCAATTTTTAATTCTATTATATATTTATTAAAAAATTAATTGAATAAGTTTTTTTAAATATTATTATTGTTTTTTAAAATAATTGATAATTATACAAATAATTTTTCAACTATAGGATATTATTTTGTTGAGTCTACCGGCTGTTAAAGTTAAAAAATGATCCCCGATAATAGGGAGTTGCTTTGTTAAGTCCCTCAAATATTAAAAGTTACAAAATGATCACTCGATTATTCATTATGTTCCATACTCATCCTTTTCCGTTAGAAAAGTTAACGGTCGTCTGAGTTAAACGTTAACATGTTGCCTGAGATATGATTGTTCGTTTGAGATTATGGTATCAAATTTTTATTATATCTCAATTAGTAAATTAACGTCCAGCTCAGACTGTCGTTTATTTTAAAAAAATGGACGAGTTTGAAACATAATGAATAGTTGAGTGACCATTTTGTAACTTTAAATAGTCGAGGGACTCAACAAAACAACTCTCTATAGTTAGGGGACTATTTTATAACTTTTAATAGTCGAAAAACTCAACAAAACAATATCTTATAATTAAGGAACCATTTGTATATTTTACCTAGAAAATAAATATGAATAAGGAGGATATGCCCCCACAAATACAATAACATCAACAACACCAACGTTGCTTCAAAACTTTTAATTATGACCCAACTTAAACCTAACCTAACCAGCAATTATTAGTTACATTTGTGAGTTAATTGCACAGCACATGCGTTGATTACTGCTTCACCTTCATTTCCTTCCCTCTCCATTATTACGTTTTACACATTATCTTCTCCAAAGTTTGCAAATTAAACCCACAAATTTGTATAAATAATATTCTTACATGGCATTTAGTTGGCATTATCTTCATAGTCCTTAGCTGGCATTGCCCAATTATATAGCTTAACTGTTGATGTCTGAGGTAAGGAGAGGTGCAATCCATGAACAAAAAATAGAATATCTTAATTGCTATCTGAAAAATCTAGCTGTGACAAATTTGCCTTTTTTCTTTCTATTTTATATTTTTATTGTTGAAGTGCAAAAATGTAAAGTGCATATTATCAGGTTTAATTTAGATTCAAATTATTCTTAGGTCAGATGTATATATGATTTAAATCCAAAATATTCAAGCTCAACTGGATTAAGGTCAATATCAGTTCATACTCAAATCTATTTTGAATCATCATCACTTCAGGTCACAAACAATTCAGACTTAAATCAATATTATTCGGTTTTCCAATCGGGTCAGATTTTTACATTCCTAATACAAAGTGCAAGGGGTCCCCGCACAACTAAGCACCCTTTTTCAATATTCATCTCCACTTTGTTTGGGATGATTATAAAAGTGGGGGCATGGAATTTGCATACTCAAATTACTCAAATTCTCCATGAAAGTAATTTAGCCTCTCTCTCTCTCTCTTCTGCAACATGAGAAGACAAAGGTGTGTGTCGAGCAAGA